TACTTTTCTTTTCCTCCCCTTTTTCCTCTCTCGCTGTTGTCTCCCATCACACACACACACACACACACACACACACACACACACACACACACACACACTATGTACCTGTACAAGAGCCGTCAGGGCTTCCCTGTGACTGGCGTGTGGGTATTCCCAGTCTACATCAATCCCGTCAAACCCCCACTTCCGCACATACGCTGCCGCGTTCGTCACGAACTGCTTCCGGGACGCTGCGGATGACGTCACTTGAATAAACTCCTCCGGTTGGTGGGATCCTCCAATACTGAGAAGAGTCTTCAAACCTGTGTTGTTGCGCTTCAACAAATTCACCAGTACAAATCGGCCCTGTGGAAGAGACATGACAGCAAAAAACATAATGAACAAAATATTAATATGAAAGATCAGCTCGTTGATTCTGTAAAAAAAACAAAAAAAAAACAAAGTTATTTTCTTTTAATGTCTGCAAACGTATGTTGTGGAATTCACTCATAAGATTAGGAACATGGTAGGATATAAAATAACAATGTGAACACGACAAGAATTGCACTCACGTCTTCTGCACAAAAGACAGAACAACCTGTCATTGCACCTCAAGCGCCAATCCTTGTTTCCAGGCTATCATTTGTACGACTTATTCAAAGAAGTAGATCTAATGCTTAAGGTATCAGGATGCTAGAACATGCTTTTTTTTTGCTGTTTTCCTGCCATGCCTTACAATAACTATACGTATGTACCCTCTAAGTGAAAAAAAAAATGTTTGAATGTCGAAAAAACATGCAAGTATGCAAATTAAGCTTCCAATACGGTCGCCGAAGGAAAAATATAGGCATGCTACTTGGAAGACGGTATCTCATACACCTTTAGGAATATTTGCAAGAAATTTTCAGGAAATGTTCTTGAATACCTAATGCATGTCACAAACGTTCTAAAGTAGCTATTTGGGACAAAATTATGAGTTTAATTAGATGTTGAATAAGCAAGAGATGAAAACAAATTTGTAAGAAGCCTAATTGCAAGAATCTCATTTAAACAACTGTTTTCAAGATGAGGCCGTTGTTTTGTTTTTTTGTTTTTTTTTTGTTTAAGGACATGCACCACTATCTTGGGAATATAATATGTTCAAAATTTCAGATGGATATCTTTAACAACAGTGATTTTATGGATTGTAAAAACTAGTACGTGAACCCAAAAAATATTTTGAGAAAATGGACAAAAAACAACAAGGAATTGTAAGGACATTGAAACTCTAAGTTTGAGGTAGGATCGAGTCCTCAAGAAACAGTAAACTCAGCACAGTCAGTTTGAAAGAGTTCAATTTTTATTATATATTCGCTTTTTGCGTTTCAAATAGCCATTTTGAGGGGGGGGGGGGGTGGAATAGGGTAGCAACCTATATATACAGACTGTTGCCAAGGGCGACTGGGGTTGACATGGGTATTCAAAAACCTCGATTTACTAAAAAAAAAAAAGGACTGTGTATTACTTTTATTCACTTAGGTCTTGTTCATAAATGGTGTAGGTACACATAGGGGGCAAAAACAAAAATACAATAAAATCTTGATGTTTCATTATATCAAAGCATTCTGATACCTTAAGAAATGTTTTAGAAAAACTCATAATATTGTTTAGAGTTTACCTTGCAAAAATACAAAAAGGATCAGAAACTCACCACAGAGCTGATTGTGCTTTCATCATCAACCCGAGAAGGCGTAAGTTCCAGTGACGTCACATTGATGTTGACGAAGGCGTAGATGAGATGACTACACAGGTGAGGTTTCAGGTGGTGAAGGTAGAAGTGAGCCTCGGCAACCAGGAGGTCACATGACCAGTTTGTGAAATAGCACACTCTCTTGAACTGCTCGCTCTCCGAGTCTTGGGGAGATGAAACGCACAATTACAACTTGGCAATTTCACTCGTATGATAAACTATGATCTAGATCTACCACCCAAACTCATGTTATAAATTCTTTCATCTTTCCTGTTTAGAGGTAGAACGCACCTCTTCTGTCTGCAACAACGAAGAGTCTTACCATTTCACCATGAACTGAGGTTCACTGACCTTTGACTTCAGTTTACCCCACGGGTCAGGACAGACGCTGCAGACGAAATACTAAATAGTTTTCCGTCCCATGCTATCATTGTCATTGTTCTTTGAGCATATTTTGTATGTGCATACAGGAAGTTCTTACAAAATTCATGACCGTCTCTTTCTTCTGAGGCTTAGGGTGTTAGCCCATGTGTCAGATCGCAACCCGTAGCAGAATTCTCTTCTGACAGAGCTTTAAATATTATTATGTCTTTGTGTTCCAAAAACCTTCCACTGTTTAAGACTTGTCCTTATTTTGATTTTACAAAAACATTACAAAATTGTAATATAGCAAGTCTCTTACCTTCGTTACATGCAGCTGGAAATGAACATCACATTGGACTAATAGATTTAATATAATTAAACGGCGTCTTTATACACAGAAAAACTTTCATGTGTCACAAAAGAATGAAGATCCCACAACTAGAATGTTGTACTCGTACGTGAGTGTGATTTATTACATTTATTACTATGTTGTACTGTGTTCTTTGTCGGTGATGTCATCGTTGGTTTGGTAAGAGCGAATGTAGCCAAAGTAGCCACTATTGTTACTTTTGCTGCAAATATTATAGTAGTGATCGTAGGATTTTTATATATTTCTTGATGTCTTCGATTTTGGGCGATAGTTATTTTTTTAACACCCATTTAGAACAATATAGATAACAACTTTTAATCAGACAATACAACTTAAAATAAAGATAAAGATTCAAATTTCAGTCATGATTAAACGTTCTCATTTCTAATCTTTCGTGTACTTAGACTACTAATGCCAACGAGACGATTATTTTCATAATATCTGGAGTTATATATTGATCAACAATAGATGAACAACAACTCCTTGACTGAAATTTCCGCGTCAAAGAAGACCAACACCCCCGTCATGACCTCGTACTTTATAAATCTCAATGAAAGGACTGCGCATGCGTGTATCTTTTTAGTTTTTTAATAAGAATGTTACTGCACTGCTACACTATAATGTCATACCGGTACCTAAGATTGCAGGTGCTACAAGAGAGTGACAAACACTAAAAAGGGAGAGAAAAGGACGATAGATGATTAATAGGAAAGAAGGAGCAAATTGCACCGGTGCATGTGCCAACCACCCACGCACATTTATATTTTAGTTGTGGTGATGGAGGGGTACTTAGCTCATATCAGGCATAAAAGGGAAATCTAAATTGAAAGCGACTGTATACCATAATAACATATCCACGTTGTAAATTAAATAACCTTTCTGGGTGCGAGGCTGAGAGTCTAACCACTATATTGCAGACCAGGTGCGGTCTAAATTTCTTACCTGAGACAGACATAAGCAGAATGAGAATGATTGGTATCCAGCTAACACAAAGGCATTTCAGCAATGACATAATGATGATTATGCCCCCACACAAGATGCCAGTTACACTGAGCAGAAGAGAATGCTGCCCACCGGTTTTGTCTCCCGCTTAAAGAAGTTTTTCTTTCGCGTTTTCTTCCGCAGTTGGTTTTGTTTGTGCGTTTTTCGATTGTTTGCTCTGGCTCAACCGCGATAGGAGGATCAGAGTAAAGGAGTGATGTTGACAGACTTTGAGCATCCAGCAAACAGTTTAGACTCTACGTGTAAGCCTATTACCCTTCGTGTTTGAATATATTGGTTGCCACTGTGTAAGTAGCAAAACATTTTAGGTTTAAAAAGTAAGTATACAGTTGGCAAAAGCGAAAATGTTGTAAAGTCTAAAGTAAAGAAAGAAAGAGGTCGAGGACTGAAATATGGCACCAGCAACAAAGACCACAGATTAAGTACTAAAACAAAGAGTTTGAAACTGTGAACAACAGGGGGATTTTCTTTTCTAGAAGAAGTCTCCTGATGTGGAGTTCATGTTCGCAGGCTTTAGAGAGGGTTAGCTCTGGCTTGGTCTCGTCAAAATCTCCTATTCAAATAAAGCATTTCTCCCCTGTTTTTTCCCATGTCCGTTTAAATAGGCCCTTTTCTGAGTAGGCGTGCTTTATACTGTTTGCCGAGTTTGTTGTTTTTATGTTACATTTGTGGCAAAAGCTTCTCTCTCTCTCTCTCTCTCTCTCTCTCTCTCTCTCTCTCTCTCTCTCTCTCTCTTACTCTCTCTCTCTCTTACTCTCTCTCTCTCTCTCTTCCTTTGGAAAGAAAAATTAGCATTTTTGTGGAAAACAAACAGTCATGTTGCTTAAAGTAAAATAAAATGATAATATAGACTACAGTTGCTTTTTTGCTTTCAAAATAAAGTTAACACAAACGCTCTTAAATATTAACCCACTTTAAGGAGTAAAAGATAAAGACATCCACGACAGCAATGTTATTGTGATACGATGAAACAAACTAGTCATCTTGTTTGTAATAAAGAATGGGGATAAAGACTGGTCCCTCCCAGAACTGAAACTGCCAAGTCCTTATCCCACTTTTCCTGTAGTTAAAATGTAGTATTCTAAATCATGGCACAAAGTAAAGTTCTATTCTTTGGGGGGGGGTATCTCATACCTTGGTGCATTCGGTTAGATGGCGTTGGGAGTTTCTAGTTTAAAAGCTTATGCCACAATGTTGAAAGAATTTTAAAAAATCTAAAGTCTTCCACATCGTTCTGCTTTCGTGACAAACCATAACCACTTATCTGTCTTGTGCGTCCACAACAAGATAGCCCGGTAGATAGACAATCAAATACACATGTATCCCCCTCCACCTCGAGAAAAAAAACCCTCCCCCAAAAAACAAAACAAAATAAAAATAGAAATAAAATGACATAGAAAGAAATTTAGATAATATGAAAACAATAATTAGCCCAAGCCTTAGCCTCTAGAAGTCCACCCTCCTCAGTACTTGATCACTGTTAGCATGATGAAACCGTGACAGTATTGCAGCGTGACCACAATTTGCCTAAAATGTGCCAGAACAGTGCAGATAGCCTGGAAAGTGTTGTGTATCTTCAGGAATTTGGAAATAAATGCACTTTTCTCTCTCTCTCTCTCTCTCTCTCTCTCTCTCTCTCTCTCTCTCTCTCTCT